GCTGAGAGTTTGTGTTTGTGTGTGTGTGTGTGTGTGTGTGTGTGTGTGTGGTCCAGCCTCCAGGGGCACAGTTGGGTGTTGCGGGAGAGCGCCCCTCACCCCACACTTCCCAGCTGCCCCTCGCATCCCATTCACAGAACATGGCTTTCAGGACCCTCCTGGTCTCCTCCTCCCGTCGCCATGGCTGCGGGGAGTGGGGGGAGGAGACTGTTGGAGCCAGCCCCCTGCCCCTGCTGCTCCAGCTAACCCCCCACCTGCCCTTTCTCTCCCTTCCACAGGCTGGGCCCCATCCCCTGCTGCTCTGGGGGGCAGGGGCCGGAAGATGGTGGCCAATGAGGAGGGGGAGCGGAGAGAACTTGAGCCAGGGCCTCCCCTCCCCCATTTCCTCCTCTGTCTCTACACCCGCTTCTGGAAGGAGCTGGGGGATGGCTCCTGGGCCCAAGGTGGGGGAGGGGCCCTACTAGCTGGTGAATTGCTGGGCCCGTTCCTCAGGAATGAGTTGAGTGAGAGCTGAGGGGCTCTTGGTCCCAATCCCCTCTTCCTTCGTACCATAAGGAGAGATCTAGGAACTCCTTTGGGAAGAATATTCCCTTAGCTTCTTCCTAAGCTTGCTGGGCAGCCCTGTCCTCTGCCCCCTGTTGGCCTGGTCCAGTTTCCAGCTGGCTTGCCCAGTCCCAGGAGCACAGAGGCCTGGCGACTGACCCCAGCGGGCCTTGGTTTCCGTCCATTGGAACTGTGCAAACTGTGGGGCAGGGCCCCATGTTTGCAGATTACAGGAATAAACTGCCTGGAAAGGCTGAGAGAAGCTCTCCTGCTTCCTGAGGGGGTGGGAAGAAGCTAGAGGGGAAGCCCAGAGGAAGACGTCCCAATTGGAATTGGGTCATCCATTTCTTCTACTAGCTGTGGAGTGGAGAGGGAGTCTTTCAGAGGCTGCTTTATTGCTTGGGAGGCCTCATAGATCAGGGCACAGAGGATTCATCCCCCAGCCTTTCCATCTTTGGCCTGCCTAGAGTTCACTGGCTCAGAATATAACTGGCTTCCATGGCCATGGCACTAGCTAGAATATGCCACACTAGCGCTCCACCTGGCTCTGAACCTTTGGATTTACAAGTGTTCTTCCAGGTCATCTTCTAGCTTTGGGTTTTAATTAGTCTCAGTTATCCTGTGTTTAAGTCCCTTAAACTAGGAGCGGGTGGAAAGGGCTGGCTGGGTGAGCCTGAAGACTCCGTAATCAAAGTCCCTGGACTGGACAGGAAACTCAGCTTCTAGTTCCACTACCTATGAAAGCTTATCCTAATTTGAGAGGGAATCACTAGTAGCATTTTGTTTAATACTAAATCCATAAAGTCTTTTGAGGACCTCCAAAAGGAGATGCAGGTTGTGGAGCTTCCCCCTCTAGCAATGGAAGCTTATCTCTTCTACCAGGGGACCTATAACTACACTTCTCCACTCTCTGGTCCTTGAGTTCATCTGAGATTGTCACCTTGAGGCCTAGAACTCCCTTTATATCTAAACTAGAAAGAAGAGAGCTTTAGAGTGGTAATAAGTAGGGGGCTCTGTGGTCCTGGTCAGCAAATTCCCTCTGGAATAGTTGGCAGAAATGTGAATCCAGAAAAACACACACTCATACAAGTCTCCTCCAGGCTTTTGCGATTTTTACCAGTTATTTCCTTTGAAACTTGAGTGTCAATCTCAGGGTATCCCTTCTGCTGCCTCATTGGGCTGTGCCCAACCACCCTAAAACCTTAAACAATTTTCTTCTGGGAAAGGAAGAAGGCAAAACGAGTGGAGAGAGAAGATAGAGGATTAACACAGTGGAAGGGAAGAGAAGAAAACTGTGCTGATGATGAGAAAATGAGCAGGGGGTGCTGTGAGCTGAGTGGGCCAGGAACTGGGAGAAGAGGTGAGGAGGCAGGGCTGGCATGCCTCTGCTGCTGGCCGGAGCTCTTTTCACATTGTGCTACTGTCTGCACCTATCACAAGCAGTGCAATGTTAAAAGGGCATTGGCCTTGTAGTGCTATCCAACGCCGGCTGCCTCCTCAGCATTGATAGTTGTTCTCCCTTCTGGGCACCAATCAGCTACCCTGGAGGAAATTTGGGAAGCCTCACTTAGTTGTACTAACAGTTCACATTTTTAGAGCCACTTCTGTGTGCAGTGCATGTGCTAGACACTGCATACAATGTTGTGATCTGTTTTAACTTGGCAGGTAGCATCCCCACTTGACAGGTGAAAACACTGAGGATCAGAGAGGTGTAGGCCGTTTGGCCAAGGAAGGTTAGTGGATTTTCATAATTGTAAGCTCACCCATCATTAGTAGACCTACATGGAAGGATCTGAGTAGATTCTCTTACTGGGAGATCTTGCTGAGCTGAGGAGTGGAAGGTTTTGATGCCATCTGCTGTTTATAGGAAGATAATCTTACAAAGTCAAGTATAAGGATAAATGTGACAGCTCCTTGGGTAAGGACCAGGCTGTCAGACTCGATGTGGGATAGAGAGTAGGGGGAGAAGATTGGGAAACCACTGAGAAGCTCAGAGAAGACCTCTGTGAGAAAAAGGATCTTAGCCAGGTGCAGTGGTGCACCTGTCATCCTTGCAACTTGGGAGGCTGAGGCAGGAAGATGGCAAGTTTCGGACCAGCCTCAGCAACCGAGACCCTGTCTCAAAAAAAAAAAAAAAAAAAAGAGGGACTGGGTGTGGTGGCGCATGCCTATAATCCCAGCAGCTGGTGGGGAGTGGGTCCTGAGACAGGAGGACTGCAAGTTCAAGGCCAGCCCCAGCAATTTAGTAAGTCCCTGTAGTAAGTCCCTGTCTCAAGATAGGTCTCAGTGATAGAGTGCTCCTGGATTCAATCCCCACTAAACACCACCACCCCCTGCCAAAAAAGGGAAAAAGGGAATGTACCGGAAAGAAAAAGTGCCACTTACAAGGACCATTCTTTAGGAGAAAAGACCTTGTGCCCCCTCACATCCAATACCTGCAGCTCCTCCCTGGCTTAGGACATGGAAATGAGATCTCATCCCTCTCCTGCCTTCAATTGCAATTATCAAAATGATCCCTTTTGGTCAGAAGCTATTTGATAATGATGGTTCTTGAAGGTACACCTGTCTGGGCTTCCAAGAATTGGATAGTATTGCTTATGACCTGATTTTAGAGATTAAATAGTATTCCTTGAGCCAAGCACACAGAATGATTCTTATAAGAGAGATTATAAGGAATTTGAGAATAACTGTGTTGTTCACTTCTCTGTCTCTCCTGGTGCCTAGCTGGCTTCATGAGAATGTATTACAGAAAATTGGGAGGTATATTTGGAGTGCTTTATGAAGGCAGCCAAAGGGCAGGGAGGTAACCCAGTGGTAGAGGGTTGGCCTATCATACCTGGTGCCAAGGGATTCCCAGTACTGGTTGGGATAGGATGGGGGAGAAGGCGGCAATTTAAGCTGGGTGCAGTAGTACACACCCATAATCCTAGATAATTGGGGTTGAGGTAGGAGATCACCAGACCAGATTGAGCAATTTACAAAGGGCTGGGGGTGTAGGTTAATGGTAGAGCACTTGCCTATCATGTGCAAGGCCCAGGGTTCCATCCCAAGCACCACACACAGAAGCAGCTAGTTTGTGCCTGGTTTTCAAGGGCAGGAGGTGGGACTGTGAGAGAGTTGGAGTCCTCTGTAAGAGCCTGAGAAGAATCTTGTCATAATTCCTCATGTAGATGCATGAGGATGCTAGCCATGGGTCTTTCCTGGCTTCTGTTTGCTCTTTCTTTGCCCTTCTCTCACCTCTACGCTTGCAGGTGTCTCTCTCCTGCCTGGTCAGCCTCTCCATTCTGAAGTTGACAGTATTTGAGATGGTACAGTTAGCATTATGTCCTTACTTTCTTCAGTCTGTTAAAACTTTTATTTGAGCCTCCTGTCTGGGCATAAGAGTGATGCCTCTCCACTCTTACTAAAAAGCAAAATTTTTTCCATGGTTCCACAGTGCCCTTGGGATGTAATCTAGACTTCCTCAATGATTTATAGACCCTGCGTGTCTCTTGTTTCATTTCTTATCTCATGAAGCTGCACCTATATTTCAGCCACAAGAAACGTTTTCTCAAATTAACTAAGCTTGAGCCACCTGACACATGGTTCTGCCTGAACTGCTCCCCTGAGTCTTGCCTTTTGCCTACCTAAATTTTAATCTTTGAAGTGCCAGCATAGTCTCCCTTCTGGGTAACCTTCCTTGACTCCTCAGGTCTAGGCTTTTCCTCTCCTGTAAGCTCTGGAGCCTCCTCTGTTCTGCTAGATCCTTTAATCACATCCCATTGTGATTATCTGGTTATTGTTTTCCTTGCACTAGACTGAAAGGTCTAAGAGGTCACTGCCTTGCTCATGACTCCCCAGTACTTAACACCATGCCTAGCAAAGAGGTGGTCTATAAATATTTGCAAATGAATGAGTGAATCTGAAATAACAATGTAGTTTATAAAAGGTGACTTACGTGTCAGTCTCCCCTGAAGGTACTGGTCACCCTAAAATAGTAGAAATTGTCATTGCCCCCAAATGTCCCTTAGGTTACACAGTTGCTTTGATAACTATGTTTGAGCTATTTTGTGCTATTTCCTATAAAGGGCCAGTGCGACACCTGAGCTAAAAGACTTTGCTTTTAGCCTTAAAATGTATCCATACACTGAACAAAACATAAAACTAGGCCAAAAAATATGGGGTCCAAGAAAACCCTTGTTCTGGAATGAGCCTCTTAGAGCCACCCAATCCTGGATGTAAGTAAAAGTGGACTTGTTGGTAAGGGCTCCAGAAGACAACTGGGTGTTTACAAAGCCCCATCCCTTCATAAACTAAACCCAGGCTGAATACTTTGCTAAAGGCTCAAGTGGGGTATATTGCCACAGACAAAGCAACTGCTGCCCCCTAGTGGTATTAAGGGACAGGCTCCCTTGCGTATAGTGAAGGGAATGGTGAGTAGTACATGCACAAAGGAAAGTCAGAGGACAGGGCCTCACAGTTGCTTTTCCCCTTTTTATTAAAAATAGACCCAAACACTTTATATATCATACAAAAGTTTCTTTCGCTGGTGGCAACCACAGGAAAGACTGGTCCTGTGGTGCTGATGATCCACCTCCCCTCCAGGGGACTGGGTCCCAGGGAGCAGTGGTTGGGCCTTGAAGAATGCCCATAAAGACTGCTTGCTCTGGAAACAGCCAGCTGAGGGTGGGGGCTGTTCCAGGGGCAGCTTTCCCCACCCCACCCAATGGCAAAGATTAGATACTCAAAAGTGCCTCTTTAGTGCCAAGGTAAACTAACAAGTGGAGTGAGATGGAAACCCCCTGTGACTTTATTTCCCAGGGCCTGGGACTTGGGTGTTTCCTCCCATCCCTATCCCCATCCCCTGCCCTGAGTCTGTTCTTTGCAAATGGGAGTGGGAAGCTATTTGCCCTCAGAGACTCTAGTCTCCTGGTGTATGAGGCCAAAATTTCATTCCAACCTAAACTGTTTCTTTGATATTCTGTGACTTAGGACCTCTTAGCCCCATAACCCAAGGTTTATCCTTTTCTCCACTCAAAAAAAGGGAGGTCAAAATCCTGATTCCTCCCATGATCCTCTGCCTGAGTCCACACCCTGCCATCACCTCAATTTCCAGGAACTTGGGAATAAAAGGGCCCACAACCATCCCTTTTTTCCCAATTCTGTATTTCCCTAACTGCTGCCCACTCCTGAGCCTTGAACACCCCTGGGGTACCCCAGGCCCCTGTTCCAAAGGGGACCTGGTAATGATGTGGTGGAGGCAAGGAAGGCGTTGGTTGGAGCCGGGCTTCCCCAGGGGTGGGGCAGTGCTCATGCTGGTATGGACAGCTTGGTAGGGCCAGGGGACAGGTGTGAAGAGGGTGGGGCATGCGGAGGAAGGGCATAGCCTGCCTGAGCCCTCTCAGTCCCAGCCATTGTCCTTCACCATGTGTGACATTTCAATGATGTACTTCCCTTCCTTGTACTTCTGGCTGGTCTCAAAAGCTTGTTCCTGTGGAGAGCAAAGTGGGTGAACACAGGACAAAGCTGTTCCCCTCCAGGCCCCACCACTGTATTACCCCTACCCAAGGCCCCTGATTCAGTCCAACCCACTTTCCAGCTCCCTATTTCCTTGGACCATGCAGAGATCTGACATGTGGTCACTGGGGCCTGGAAGGCCATGGGGCTGTCTAGAATGTAGCCCTCTTCACCAAGTACTTACATATTTCCAGCCCAGTGTGGTCTTGCAACTTTCACAGAAAATATCTGCTACCGAGTGAAGCCCTGTGAGCAGGAGGCGCTGTTCTGCCGGCCCACAACCCACGTTGACCCTGTCTCAGAAACAAGAAGGATCCAGCCCCCGAACAGCCCAAAGGGACTTCCATCTGGAAAACTGGGGCTTCTGACTTAAGCAATCCACCCCATTATGACTAGTGCCTGGGCCTTTTTTCTCCAGTGCTGTGATTTCAGTTCTGCCTGGACTCTCCACAAAGACCTGCAGACTGACTTTCTGCAAAAAGTCTTTTTGCTTTTGCAAAAGGGGAGGTGAAGCCAAAGGTACAAGATCACATTCTAGGCTAGGGGTGTAGCACTGGTAGAACACTTGCCTAGCATGCGTGAGGCCCTGGGTTCCAGCCCCAGAACCAACCCCAATCATCTCCTAACAGCTGACCCCCTTCATCCACAAAGGAAAATTGTTCACACACAAGCACGCACGCACTAAGAAAGAGGTAGACTCACACGGAGTTAAACAGGTAGGCTCGGCCATGGCTCCCCTGGAAGGACTGTGGAGACAGGACAGACAGTGACCACTGGGTAGCCTCAGCCCCACTGACTGAACCCCTGGGGTGTGGGGAGAGAAGAGCTTTGCTGCCTCATCCCTAGGTGATGTTTGGACAACCTGTCCTGAGGGGTGGAGTGGCAGACCCTCATTTTAGCATACCTTGGAAATAAGCTCATCATGTTTGGCCAGGTGTGCACGACAGTGGACACAGCTGTAAGTGCGGTGGCAGCGGGGCAGGTAGCTGCGGAACGTCTTGGTGGGAAGGCAGGCAGGGGCCGGACCAGGGTCACAGCTGGGCATGACAGGCTGGAGGACGATGCCCTGGCGGGCTGGAGGGGCTGGCGCTGTGCAGCCCCCACAGAGACGGTCGCAGGTAAAGCAGCGGAGCAGGTTGGCTAGAGCCGTGTTTCAGGGCAGGAGAAATGTGGGGGGCTGCCCGGCCAGGGCCCCCCCAGACGAGAACCAGATAGAAATAGAAGTCACCTGGGAAGAGGAGAAAGTGCATCAGAAGAGCTGTGACCTTATAAGGAGCCACTTATGACTGCCTGGAGGAGGTGGGGCTCAGTTCTCTATGCTTCTCTCCCTGTCATCAACCCTGCTCAGTGTCCAGTTGCACTGTCTCCCTGTTCCCTGGAGCCCCATTCTGCTCTGGCAAGCCTGGCAGCAGTTCCAGGCTTCTTATGCCATAGCTGGGGAGCTGGTCTCTCTCTCCTGGGGCAGTAGCAGCCTCTATGGTTTTCCACTGAGAGTCACCTGCTGGTATGAGTGCTGCCATGGGAGCAATATCCTCTGCAAGGGCCCTGTCCTTGGTGTTCCTTTCTCGTGTGAGAATCTGTACCCTACAAGCACTAGTAGTTACTATGTCTTGGACTCAGTTGGGGCTTTTGTGGACTCCATTTGCAATGCAGTGGGTTCGTTATACATTTCTTATGGGAGGGAGGGGCAAGTTGAGGTGGTGGGAGCAGCAGGCAGGTGCATACACCTGGCGTCTCCTGGGGGCAGGTTCTGCACTCTAGGACTCTCCACTAGAACTTTATGGATGTCTCCTTTAGTGCCAAAGATGTCACATGTGGCTGTTCCCCAGTTTTGCACTGTGACTACTCATTCCAGCCCAGAAGGCACACCCGACTGACTCCCCAGCCCCTGAGCTCCTCCCCCTTCCCCCTCTAGTACTGATTATGGAACCCAGGTCTTCCCACATGCTAGACAAGTGCTTTACCACCGGGCTACATCCCAGCCCTCTCTTCACTGTCTACTCACTGTTTCCTTATTCCTGGGTTAAAGACTAAGGCATCCCACTGTAGAAGAGAAGATAGCTTTCCTTTGGCAAATCTGACAACTGGACCAATTGGAAATGGGTACCACGTCAAAAAAAAAAAAAAAAAAAAAAAAACAGACTCCTGGGCTGTGCAGGGTTGTGTGGTGGTATAGTGTGAGAGCAATGTCCACAATAAACAACAGATGGTGGGGGAGAACTCCTTATTTATAAAGGCTATGCTTTGGGGCAAAGGCAGAAACTATTCCCCCTTCTCCCAGGTTCAGGGACAAACAGCTTTGACTCTAGGTGACGGAAGATGAAATAATTGCCGGATTCTGATTAGGGATCTTGAAGATGTTGGTGTCTGCCCACACTCCAGTCCCAAAGTGGCTGAGAATGCTGGAGGCAGGGGATAAGAAGGGAGGTGTCTTCTGTTGGTTCTGATAAGCAGTTGAGGTGCCGCCTTCTCCTTCATCTGCCCGGCTGGCTGTTTTGTATGGTTCAGTCCAATTCTGGTCCAGAGATGCCAGCTGGGTGCTCTGGCAATGCTAGACCACCAAGCGGAGGAGGTGGTGCTGGCTCCAATTGCCAGGGCAAACGGGCTCTCCCTGTCCTGTCCTCTGCAGTGGCCAGAAGCGCCCCAGCTGCTCCATTCTTTCAGTAGGCTGCCAGGCAGTCTCTCCACTAAGCCCTCAAACTGAGACCATCTTCAGTTTCAGGACCTCTTACCTTGGCAGGGGCCCAGGAAGACACCTTGGGCTGAATTCAGGGTGACATTGGGTCTGGCCTCAGGAAACAGGCCCTCCTCGCTAGGAGACTCCTGTTCAGCCTCCTTTTCACATGTTTGCCTTCAACTTTGCCTGAGTTCCCTTCTGAGACACACCACCTTGAAACCTCTACTACTACAGGGGCTGGAGGAACAGGGGCCAGCTTAGGTCCCTGCTCTCAGACTCCTTCCCCAGCCTCCATCCATCACGCCTCCCTCCCTCACCCCTGCTTCCCCAACCAGCCCAGGGGAGGTTGCACAGAAGGCCAGAAAATCACGCAAGGGAGAGTAGGGGTCATTTCTTCTCCCCTCTCTGATTACAGGGAGAAGCAAGTTGGGCAAATGGGTGTGTGGAGGGGGGGATAAAGGCAAGCTGAGTGTTGGGAAGAGGATGTTTCCCTGATGTGCGATGGGGCTGGACTGTGGGAGGTGGGGGAGAAAAAGGGCTGGCAGAGGGGAGGACTGACAGCTGACAGCAGAGGCACTGAGGCGGAGGCTGGAGGAACCAGGTGCAAATCCCATGCCTCTCGGGGAAAAAGAGACGGGGGAGGGGGACACCTGCTCATAATGGATGTTCTCATCTGCTCTGAGATTTTTGGCCCCCTGGGCTAACATTTTCGGTATGGTATGGTCCAAGTAATTAGCAGTGCAGCCAGCTCCCAGGGCGGGCTTTGGGGGTCTGCACCAGCGGCAAAACAATAAACAGTGATGTTGGATGCTGCAGCCAAAGTTGCCGGAAAATAAGTGCGGGAATTGTCAGAGCTTGGAGAGGGATGGAGGAGCCGAGAGAGAGAGGAGAGAGGAGCGGAGGCAGCAGGGAGGGGGAAGGGAGGACAAAGGGTGGATGAATAATGCTTTTGCAAAGGGAAAAAAGCAACACGCAGCAGGAAGAGGAAATTTGCAAAGGGGGGAAAATTCATTTGGAGAAGGGCTGCCCCCTCACCTTGAGGTCTGCTCCAGAGATCTCCGTCTATCTCTCTCTCTCTCTCTCTCTCAATCTCTCAATCTTTCTGCTCACTCTTCTCTCTTCTCTTTCGGCTCCTTCAATTGGGAAAGGGATGGGGGTGGGGAAAGGTAGTTGAGGGGCTCAAGACTGAGGCTGCAAAGCTGGACAGCTGCTGGGGGGCCAGAGGTTGTCTCGTTCTGTACCTCGGTCTGTGGGTGAATGTGGCTGTGTGTTGTGGAACTGCATCATAACACTGTGAGTCATCCATCCCCCCACCCCCCCTCACCTCCCACGTCAGAGCAGGGCTGGGAGACACAGGAGGCGGGTTGGGAGGAAGGGAGGGGGCAGGCATCCAGGGACTGGGCTGGAGGAGTGATGCAAGGGAGTTGGGGCAGAGGGGCGGGCGGAGAGGTGTTGGTGCTGGTGATGGGCGAGAGGCAGTTTGTTAAGAAGCAAGGCAGTATGGCCAAGGAGATAGAACCTGGGGGAAAGACAGAGCTGGGCAAGGATGGAGTAAGGGTGGCAGGGCTGGAGGAAAGGAGATAGCAAGGCTAATGAAGTGAGAGATGGATGCAGACAGCCAGGAAGTTCACGTATACGAATTTAACATGATATATTTTCCCACTTCAGTTCAGACATCAACCCTGACACAGGGTAAAGGATGTACTGGTTTTCACGGATGGCAAACTGGGTTGCCAGACTTGCACTATACCAGGTACTTCCAAGCTTCAAAGCGTCAGTTTAGTGGTCTGAAGAAGTCATAGATTAAATATGACATTTTGCGTGCAGGAACCTCATATCAACTGCCTCCAAATTACTTGTGCTTCATAAATGGAGACACCTACAAAACTTACATTACATAAAATTCTCTACTGTAAACTTCTAAGGCAGGTCCTCAGGGAAACTTCTCTCTGCATCCTAGGACTGCAGTGCCTAGCGCAGAGCCCTGCGTACAGAAGAGACTTATAAAACAGTAGTTGAGTTGCATCTTCAGATATGGACCAAGTGTATGGCTCAGGCTCAAAGACACTTGAGTTAGAATCTTAGCCCTAGGCACTAGCCAAGTTACTGATCCTCTTTACATCTCAGATTTCCTCTTTTGCCAAATTAAGCTAATAACAGTCATCTCATAAAGGTGCTAAGTAAGATAACCTGGAAGTTCCCAAACCGTGCCTGGCACATGATAGGCATTTAGTAAACAGTAGTTAGTGTTATTTCAAAACTGCATCCTCAATTTATTACCCCTAAATCCATACAGGATTTAATAGTTCATTTATCCTCTCTGGATTTAGAGGGATGAGGCATAAGTCCAACTTGTGTCTTATGGAAAAACTACATTTAAAAAATATTTTTTTAGTGTCAATGGACACAATACCTTTATTTTATTTAGTTTTTTTTTTTTTTAACTTGGTGCTGGGATTGAACCCAGTACCACACTCATACTAGACAAGCGTTCTACCACTGAGCCACAAACCCAGCCCAAAACTACATTTTTTTCTTGCTACTTTTTTTTATATCAGCTTTCCGTTAAATCAAATTTGACATAGAATACTTCCCATGGAGTGCTGTCCTGTGTATGTCACTAAAGTATGTGGACCCAGAACATATCCCTTGGGACAAACCCCCCGTTTTTTAACAAAGGTTAACATTCAGAAAGTCGTGTTGTAGGTGATTTGCTTTCATTCTCACATGTAAGGGGTGAGGAAGTTAAGGCAGTGGAATGTGGATAATGAGAGACATTGCTAGATATGGGGAAAAAAAGGAATTCTGAATGTTTAATCAGAGACAATTCTGGAGTTTAAGGTAAATTCTGAGAAGAATGTGGGTACCTCGAGGGATGTTACCAGAGGTTTGGAATTGAGAAGAGGAGCTGGGTAAAGAGAAGAGAGAAGTGGTCTTGTCTGGACTGTAGATGAGAATGAAAACAGAGGAGGAATTTGAGGAGCCATTGTTAAGGAGAAAAAAGGAAGATTAGTTTTTACATTTGGCATTTTCCCCCCAGTGGTGGGGATCAAATTCTGGGCCTTGAACATTCTAGGCAAACATCTTACCACTGAGCCACATCTCTAGCCTGGAAGATAACTTTTTAGGACATGAATTTAAGGTTTGAAAGCAAAAAGGATACCAGTGAATTTAAATTAATTCAAGAACAAAATTATCAAGCATTAGATGGAGAGGAGAGTGAGAAGGACATACAAAAACAGTATTATATTTGGGGGTGGGGTGTAGATAACAGGAGCGCTTGGTGGAAGACTAAAAGTGAGAAAAGAGAGTGTAGGCAAGTACAGATGCTTTAAATGTTGTGCCCTTTTTCTGTGTTTAAGAAACAAAATGGAGAGCGCTCTAAAATGGGTGGAAGAGAGGGTTCCTCTTAAATTCTGCTTGAGATGGTTATACAATATCCAAATAAAGATGACCTTTGGGAAATTGGGAGAAATTGCCTCAAGGGTGAGAATGTGGAGGCAAAGAAACAGACCAGGGAGATAGATTACAAGGAAATGAGGAAAGATGAGACCCAGGGAGAAAATTTTTAAATTTAATTAATTAAAATTTATTTTAAATTCTTCATCATCATCATCATCATCATCATCATCAGTTTTGCAGTACTGGGGATTGATGGATGCTCTATCACTGATCTACATTCCCAGTCCTTTTTATTTTTTTGAGACAGGGTCTCCCTAAGTTGCTCAGGCTGGACTTGAACTTGCCTCCTGCTTCAGTCTCCTGGGTAATTGAGATTACAGGCATGCTTGGCCCCAGAAAGAAATTTTCTAATTGGAGATTGGATTTAAAATTTTAAAGAATGGCAAACAATCAGTGGAAACCCAGTGGTTAATTGAACAACTAATGCACGCATGATGAATGAATACAATAATTAAAGCAAACTATCAAAGAGAGCTGTGAGAGGTGAGGACAGTAGTGCTTGAAAAGTGAGTGCTAAGTAAGGCCAGTAGGAGAAAGGCAAACCAGAAAATCTCATGCTTCTCAGCCTGGATTCACCAGGTGAGCTGGGATAAAAACAAAAATACTTATCTGTTTAAAAAAATAAAGTACCTGTAAAATGGGGATGCCAATTATGGTATCTACTGCACAGGCTTCTTGCAAGATTAAATTAACTCACATCTGTCAAGCCCATAAGAGTATGTGGCATCTAACACTACATAACTGTCATTATTATAACCATTTTATAACTGGGCACAGACTCTCAAACTCTGGATTAGAGTTCTACCTCTACAACTGACTGTGAATGCTTGGGAAAGTGGCTTGCCTTAGTCTCCTTCCCAAACTGAAATTGGAGATAATAAAGCTAACTATGCAGGGTGCTGTGAAACAAGAAACCTGAAAGGACTTTCAGGTAAAGTACTAAACAGATGATATTATTATAGCCACCACCCCCCCCCCCCCCCCCGCATACAATGAAAACTTAAAAGTTAACATCAAATATTTCCTATAACACAAGGATTGTACTTAGTGCTTTACATGCATCATCTCATCCAAACTTTACAACTTTAACAGGTTGGGTACTATTATTATCCCCATTTTAGAAATAAGAAACATCTCAAAGAGATGAAGCCTGTGATTTGCCCAGAGTCACACAGTGAGCAAGCAATTCAAGACTCCAAAGACCAGACTCTTGAGAAGAGGATTATAGATGTGGCTGAACCTGTTGGTTGCGGGGTATACGACTGACCTTGTATAACTATGAGAGATTTAGGGAGGGAAAGAGTCCCCGACAAAACTTCCCGCTCAGTGGGAGAGAGGTTGTTGGGTAACGACTGACTTAAAAGATAACTGGAAAGAATCACTGGACTTTATTCTTTCTTTAAAGAAAAAACTTTCTGAATGGTTTCCATGTGCCAAGCACTGTGTCAATATGGCCTCTGACGGACAGTTTTCCACCTGCCCAAACTGGCTTTGCCAATTTCCCCACTTAATGGCTTGTGAACCAGGCAAGTAGGCCATCGTGGGACTAGCTAGTGAGTCCCCCTCCCTTTCTAGCGGCCCTTTCCTTTCCTAGGCGGCAGGTGGGGCAAGACCCAGCGGCCGACGCGTCTAGGAAGCGTTGGGGCCCCGCGCGGGTGCGTAACCGCCACGCCTCCCGCCGACTCCGTTAACAATGGTGGCCACGCCCACCTAGGCCGTCACTGGCTAACAACCCCTAACTACAGTTCCCAAAGGCCGCGCGGCGCGCGTGCGCATTCGTCCGGCCGGACCGGCACGACTCCACGTCCTAGTGGGCTCCGCGCGGCCGCGCCTCCTCCTACTGCGCAAGAGCGGAACCATGTTTATTTCCGGCGTGCGTCTGACCCAGCGCGGTTTGTAGTTGTGTGCAGGTCGGGTCCGGGAAGGCTCTTGGGGTTGCTTGTTCGTAAGTGAGGCTGTGCAGGTAAGTTGATAAGCTCAGGAACACAGACGCCGACTCCTTGGGGACCTGGGCAGATTTGGGGGTGTCTGCGACAAATGCTGGACCTAGAACTGTTCAGAAATACTCTTTCACGTTCCCACAGGCCTTGTTATCCCCAGAACAATACTGTATGTCAGGAAGTTGAAGTGCCATCAGATGGCATCTGGTGAAAAAAGCTTCAGAGGTTGATTGTCTAACGACACTACTAGTCGTTGGTGGGCCAGGCCGAATATTGTTGAGTCCAAGTCTGGTGTTCTTTGCTTTGCGTCCGGATCGCAGACGTCCTTTTCTTGTTGACTTGCGTTTGCGAGTGGGCATCTGTTGCCTTCCCGTATACCAACAGTGTTGAAGCGAACTATGAGGATGATAAATCTGTCAGTCCGTAGTTGTTTTCCTCTAACGCCTGAGTCATTCACTCACTGTATTTATTGAGGTGCTTACAGTGTATCAAGCTCTATTGTGGGTATAGAGATAGGTAGCAAACAAGAATGCCCAACCCTACTTTCTAGTGGTAAACAAAAACATAGCGAGACTGAAGATAATAAGAAATACGGTGAAAAAATAAAGGGTAAAATCTATCAGAAGATTTTGAAGAGGCCTAACTCATGATTAGATCTGATATTTGTGTTGTAGGCACAGTGGCTACACAGAAAAGATGGGAGAGGAGGCCAATGATGACAAGAAGCCAACAACTAAATTTGAACTAGAGCGAGAAACAGAACTTCGCTTTGAGGTGGAGGCTTCTCAGTCAGTTCAGTTGGAGTTGCTGACTGGCATGGCAGAGATCTTTGGCACTGAGCTGACTCGAAACAAGAAGTTTACTTTTGATGCTGGTGCTAAGGTGGCTGTTTTCACATGGCATGGCTGTTCTCTGC